CACGGGACCCGCACGAGCAGCTGGATGCCATTTTCACCAGGAGCGGCAGGCCTACATCAGCTGCTCCTGCCCCGACCAGGCAAGAGGCACCACTACCTGCTTCAGCACTTCCAGCCGGTGATGCAGAAGTGCGGGTGGAAAAGGAAGCTCCTGCTCCCAAGCCACAACTAGTGGTGCAGGAGCACATACCCCAGCTTCCCTTCCCCACTTGCCTTCACAAAGATAAGCTGGAGATTGAGTTTGCCAAGTTTATGGCAATGTTGAAGCAGCTCAACATCAGCGTACCATTTGTGGAGGCACTGTCGCAGATGCCCAAGTACGCAAAGTTCATGAAAGATCTCCTCTCCAACAAGAAGAAACTTGGGGATCTCTCGACAGTGCTGCTGAGCGAGGAGTGTTCTGCTGTCCTGCAGAACAAGCTGCCCGAGAAGCACAAAGACCCAGGGAGTTTCACTATCCCCCTTACTATTGGCAGCATGCATGTAGGCAAAAAAGTCCTTGGCGGACCTAGGCGCTAGCATTAATGTCATGCCATACAAATTGTTCAAAAAGCTAGACCTAGGTGAACTTCGCCCTACTAGGATGAGCATTCAACTAGCTGACCGATCTGTTGTGCATCCTAGGGGTATCATAGAAGATCTGCTTGTTAAAGTGGGTGCATTCACATATCCTGTTGATTTTGTTATTCTGGATATAAATGATGATGTGGATGTGCCTTTGATTTTAGGGAGACCATTTCTTGCCACCGCCAAGGCACTTATTGATGTGCATGATGGTAAACTGATCTTGCGTGCTGGAAATGAATAGGCTACTTTTTCTGTGACTGAGTTTGACCACTGTGCTATGATTGCTGTCACACCTGTGCATGCTATGTCTGACCAGGTACTCGAGCATGTCGTGTATCCGTCTGCATCTTCCATTTTGCAGGATCCCCCTCTCCCTCCTTCGCCGCCGCTCCCTCCAGCCTCACCACCGAATAAAAAGCTCAAAGAGGAGTGGCGGCCGAAGCAGCAGGTGCCTAGGCCTACTCGGAAGAAAGGTGGAGACCACTATGAGCTGGTCCCACCTCCTACCTCATGATCACCCTGGCCATCCGAGTACTCACTCGCTTGCATCATGCCGGATGGCCAGGTCGAGCTGACCAATGCCGGTGGTTGTACCCGTCGGGTGCATGGCCATCATCTGAAGCTGTACCTCAAGAGCGATGTGGATCCGCTCTTGGAGGCACCTGTTCCTGCACCTCCCTGAGTATCCACCATGGACGTCCAGCTAAAAGACGGTAAAGAAGCGCTTGTGGGGAGGCAACCCCACCTCGGTTTTCTTTTATTTCTTTTGTTTTGGGTCGGATTGCCAATAGCTTTGGCTTTGGTCTGTTTTCTTTTGTCTTGGATGCTGTACTATTGGGCTGACCATTGGACCTAACGTATGTGTTTGAGTTTTTTGGTCTCTTTTAGCTATGCCTGTGTTCCCGACTGGTCCTCTCTCCAGTCCGCCCCATGCCGACTGGTCCATTTCCAGTCTCCTGCAGTCTGTGCACACCGGTAACATCGTTTCCCTTTTCCTTCCCTCTTCTCCATTGAGGACGATGTCGATCTTAAGTGTGTGTGGGGGGGGGGGGGTGTTTATCTTTAGACTGCATTAGATCTGTTTGTGTGCTTGGAGCCTAGTCCACTGTCCAAATTTTTCAAAATTTGAGGGCTCCAAGTACGTGTTCCTTGCAATTGCCTGCTCAGTATGCTTTGAATTGACAGTCTCTGTAGTGATTTGCAACCTAGGGAGGTAGTGTAGCACTATGGAGGATGTTGATGCTTAAGAAGTCTCATTTCTTCTTCATATTGTGTTGGTTGATTGAGTGAATTAGTGATCTTAGGACCCTTGAATTGTGTGGTGTTGTGGACTCTCTGCCTGTCATGGACTCTTGTATCATCTTTTGAAAATAACAGGTGCTCGAAAATGTGCTTTAAAATAACTTCTCCCGTGCGAATAGGGCGAAAGTGTGTAAGGGGAGACGGGAATCCATTCCCAATTTCCACCTACTACCTCCAGCCCCCTTACATGTCTTTCCCCCGAACGAGGCTCGAGACACCCGCTCCTGGCATGGCCGGTAAGAGCCGGGCTCCCGCAAAACCTTTGCTAGGTGGGAGCCCCCGTTTTCTTAAGAAACAGGTTGGAACCCGTGAAAAAAAAAGAGAAAAAACAGAAAAACAAGCAAAAAGAAGAAAGAAAAAGGTTCCAACCATGTTCAAAAAGAAAATCGAGCACCTTGAATTAATGTGAGTCCATGATCTTTTGTTTTTGAGAGTCCCTTCATCCACGATTCCTTTGTCCTCTGTTCGCTATTTGCCATGATGCCGACTTGGGACTAGTGTTCTCGCCGAAGAAGCTATGAGATGACTTGTGCGTCGGTTGACCTCGTAAGTTGCTAAATGATTTAGAAAATCCTCTACCTACGATCGGGGTTGTTTGTCGCTATAGAGATCTGGAGAGCTGCATTGGTTTGAGTTAGGTTTGCTTGGGGACAAGCAAACGATTAAGTGTGGGGGAGTTTGATAGACCGATAATTATACATGTTTTCACCCCTATTCTGAAGCCGTTTGTGGTGAGGAATCTCGTGTTTTAAGCCGATTTCACGCTAGGGTATGTGTTTATGTCACATTTCAGGTCCCGGCGTTGGAATCGAGGCGGAGGAACGAGTTCCGGGTCGAAAGGAGCGAAGTTGGGACGAAGGAGGCTGTTGGACCAAAATACCCGGCCAAAAGCAGGAATACCCGACCGGGTATTGTCTGGCCTTGACCGGGTATTTTTCACTTCGGGCGTCCGTGAGAAGCAGAAGGGGGCCCGGGCAAATGCCTAAAATCCCCGGTCGGGGATTATGAGGACAGACCGGGGATTTTCCCCTTAGTTGAAACGACGCGTTTTGGATAATACCCGGTCGAACCACTAAATACCCGACCGGGTATTTCGACCGGGTATCGCGATGGCGGCTGATAAGAGGGAAAGAAGGCCAATTTTCAGAGGGTTCCGAGTTTTTGAGAGAGAAAGCGATACCTAGAGAGAGAAAGCGACGAACCAGAGTTCTCAAGCGTCATAGATCGATCTTCATCACCATTGGAGCCCACCTTGAGCTTGGAGAAGTGCGATTAAACGTCCAGGAGCAGAAATCCAGCTTCACAGTATGATTTCCGCGTCTGAATCTGCTTTTGCTTCATTCTCTATGGAGTAGTTCCCCCATTCATCTGGGTATGGGGAACCCTAGATTTTTATGCTAGGTCTGATTGTATGAACCCAAGTACAGAGTTTGTGAATTGAATATATTCGATTGAGGTTTGAATGATTGAATGACTTGAATCCTGATCAAATTCCTGTCGTTTCTGCTTTGACCTAGAATGAGAATATCTGCCTAGGTTAATAGAGTACCCTTAATCGAAGGTAGCGAATTGGTGACTTTAGTCGAGGAGCCAATTCGCTATTCTGTACCGAATTCAATTCGGTAGTGGAGGTTTGGTTCGTTAGGGCCTCAATCTGTTTACTCCAGGGGAGGTTAGTCGCCATCTAAAGACTCAGATTGAGAGGGTCTGGAGACCTTTAGTCGAGACTTCAGGCTAATTAAGAACCTTCCGCAGTATAACTTTCATGAAAACTGAACTTGGTAAATTGCAATCCGACTTAACTGCAGTCTAAGGGGATCCATATCCGGGTGATCTCTCTTGACTTGGCAACAACCGCTTACTTGCTTTGTGTTTTTGTTTGCTTGAGTTGCACTAAAAGTTCACTGCTAAATAACAAGACTTCACCGAGTAGTCATCACATCTAGGACCCGGGTTGACATTAAAACCCAAACCCGCTATACTACGCTTTAGGAAGTGGTTACACTTGGCCATTTTCTAGAGTGACAGTAGGAGTGAGTCAGTTAGCCTCAGTAGGATTGTTCACCAGCAAGAAGTCAAACATGTCCTGGGGGATGACAAGAGATGGGTTGGATTCCTTCAAAGAGGCCATAACATTGCACAATCCATTTGACAGTTGAGATGATTGTTGATCCAGCCTTTTTTGCACATCTTCAGGCAACATAGATGGATTTGCGGTCGTCCCTTTTTCTTGATATATCGCATCAGCACCTTCGTGTTTCCTCTTTAACATGCTTGGAGTCACGCCTCGTCCATGGAATCGTGAATTTGGCCTCCACACTATTTCTTCTTGTTCTTCTTCTCCTTCTCCCACAAATTGCTTATGTAACTCCTCAAATTGAACCTAAAAAGTAACACGGTATGAGATGATGTAATTTTTTAAAACATGTTATATGAGATCAATTCTTACTCTTGTATTTTCGTCCATTTCGGGACCTTAATTGAACAAACAGATACACGATATTTAAGATAAAGATTTCGTCCATTTCGTCAGTTGGCTCTACATAATTTCCCTTCTCCTTCTTCTATATTAATTGAACAAACAGATACACGATATTTAAGATAAAGAACTGAAATCACGGATAGATAGTCTTTAGAATAGTCTACCAGTTGATGGCATTGTCGTGCATAGCTCTTCCTTGCTGATTTATTTGTATTCACTTGACCCTCTTGACCCTTGGTGTTTCTGTCACTTTGCTCCTGTAAATTCAATGTAATTTAGCGAACTTTTACACCATGAACATTATAGGCCAAGATTTTTTTTATTAATCGGAGGTTACCTTCACAGCTGGCTTCTCCCAATGATCCAACAGATTCTCCATTACGTTCGTCGAAATTGTATATGGACAATTTGCCAACTTTTCAGCTCTTGTTTTGAATGCTTTCATCTTCCTTTTAGTGGAACACTTATGCATTCTCCATGCTGATTATACTATCGCCATAACCCACTTTCTCACAAATGGGTGGAACTACATACTTGGACTACAGGATACATAGAGCTTCACATAATTATAACAAAGAAAGCTTAAACTTCAAAATATTAGGGAAATTTAATAGTGAATCGTAGACGGTTATACATACCTTAACATAATTCATCACTTTCAGCTTCTTTTCTTTTGGAACATGAGGCCATGAAACATAATTAAGAGGGAGAAACTTGCTGCTTCGAGCCACATTTCCCAAGAAACTACTGAATTGGTTGCAAATCTTATCATTTTGAATAGGTTGTCCAAATTCATTGATAATTATAGTCTCACGTTTTTCAAGTTCTCGAGCATGAATTGCCTTGCATTTTGTTGGACCCCTTGTTCTCTTATGTACTGCAAATGGAGATAAATATATAAAGGTTCAATAGAATGACATGAGCAATGAATAAGTTTTTGAATACCAACTCATATACCTAAGTTTTCTGCCTGATTGTCAAATTCAGTGGCAGCTGGTACCTCAGATGCGTCCCCAACTTCATCTTCACTGTAATCTTGGTCACTGGGATCGTATTCACCATCATCTTCCATTTCGTAATCCTCATCTTCCTCCTCACCCACATTCCACGATGGTCCTTTCTGTGACTTTTGATGCTCGTTAAAGTGATTAGCTTTGATAAAAATCGGTTGTGAAGATGTAAACTCCTTGCTAGGAATAGACACCTTCTTCGAGTATCCAACATACCTTTTAGAGATGTCAACTGTATTTCGTGTTGATTGTGAAGGTTGTGTAGCTAGCTGGCTTCTCCTTGAGTGGTGAGCTGACTTCGATTCTAGATCTCTTCGCGGGACTTGGGCCAATCATTTTGTTCACACGCTTAGGTGCTTGTTCTGATTGTTTCTTCAATGGAGGGAATTTGTTTCTACTCTTACTCATGTCATTCTGGGGTATTTTGGGTCCTATCATAGTTCTTGATATGTTCCGAAAATTAGGAAGCAATTATAAGAATCAATCAGTAACAATAACACAAAAGTATATCTCCAAACATACATACAGTGGCAACAATACCCAATAACTCATAATCAATCAAAAGAACCCAACAACCAAAGAGATCCCCAGTGAAACATCAACTACCGCCAGGGGGAACACATCCAAAACAAACCGATACAAACCGAACGAAAAAAAGGCAAATGCAATTGCTTACCTTATGGTTGACGCGCCTAGACTTGAAAGTAGAGAATAATGTCAAAGAAGACTACTACCCACCGAACCAACCATATATAAGAGGTTTTACTGTGATATATGACAGGAGATGATGGCGACAAATTTTGACGAGGGAAAAAACCCAATCATTTTCTAAAATTCCAAGTGTGGCGGTAAATTTCACAGCTCCTATTACTTGCCGATCAAATCTCCCGCCAAAAAGTGCAACATTCTGAACTCGAAGATAATTTGGTAACAATAAATTTCTAGATACTATGGTTTCTTCTGGATTCTGGATTGCCTAACTGGGCGAAGTAATAGAGAAAGGGTGGAATGGGGGATGAAAAGACTAGAAGGACATGGAACAAAATGGGTGGAGTGGAACTGCCTCATCTCTCTTTCTTTCAACTTCTATCCCATTCTAAATAAGCTGGCTTCCCGTATAAATGTCAAACTACAATTTAGTCCCTATAAAAGATATATATATGTTATGTAGTTAAACATGGATCTTGGTCACTATATCTTGGATAATTAATTAATCAAACATGGATTGAGATTCTAGAACCTATATATAGAATTCACAACTTGTTCACTCTTTAGCTTCTTTGACCTATAATTTGCTCCAAATGACTCGGTTGACCCAACTATATTCATGGTACATCGATTAGTAGCTCTATTTAATCTACGACATAAATTGAGTCCCATGTAGACTAAGATGAATGGAGATACCGGTTGGATTGGAGTAGGTTGAGTTGAGTTGGATTCAAATTCAATAAAATTGGTAACAATTTGTGAAATGGTCGACATTATGTGTATGATACAAATCTAATCATGTCGTTCGTGGACAAATTGTTTTCAGTCTTGCTTAAACAACTTCAATCTTCTTGACTAGTAACAATTTGTATGAATACTTAATGCAATTATGAATGCTTTTCCCATAAAATTATTTGAATTACCCAATGATGTTTGAAATCCGTTCAAAATTGAATTGAATTAAAGATTTCAAACTTCGCCCTTATGATGTCGTTGACTATGTAGTTTGGAAATAGCAGGAGAGTTGGGTTTGTTGCCAAATAGCAGTGTTTAAGAGAAACTATATATATTAGGTTAACATAACGATGGAAAGAGGAGAGTTAGGTGCCCATAATCTATGAATTGGAGCCAAATATTATATGTACAAGTAGTTTACCTAATAAATGAGGATAATTATATCATTCCATTATAATTAGTAAAATACTTGTGAAATTAATTTGGAGATTCCACTTCAATTCCTAGGAATTGCTATAATTAGTTCCAATTTCATAAAATTCAAATTTTAGAATTGGAAATGAATCATTTAAATACCAAATACAAAATGATTTCATTTCAAAATGAATCCTCCAAACTCATAGCATTCATTTATTCCTAGGTAACAACATTTTGATTAAGCTTTTCTTCCAAAAAATGAATGTTTATTATGACTACCGAATTTGTTAGAATACACTATTTTTTTTAAATATAGTAGGTTCTGTCTTTGTTACAATATAAGTGGAATTGTGCATGTTTTTTTGGCAAAATAATAATTGCCACCAAATACTTTGTCATTACATTTCGTCACAACAATAAGGTATTTTTATGACAACCATATTTTGTCTAGTTAAATAGACATTTCGTCACAAACATAAGTTATTTTTATGAAAACCATATTTTGTCTAGTTAAATAATAATTATGACAACTTCCGTTTGTCTAGCCTTGTGTATGGACACCTCATGCTGACAAATTATTAGGGGATGTCGTGACAACTCACTCTGTCACAAGATGTGTATATTCTTTTTTTTTTAGAAAGTGTATATTCTTACAAGACCTGGTTGTTATTGCACTGCACATAGTCGTTATTGCATTGCCATTCTTAAACCTGCTCCACTCAGGTTGTGACAAGCAAAGGTTCCCCGGCCATGAATAAGCATGGTGTCTTCAACCCTGGCCGGGTCTACCTTGGCTCTTGCTTACCAGGGGTAGGTGTTCCTCCTTAAACAAGTTTTTAGAAACTCCCCGATTTCCTTGAGTTGTTGAGAAGAAACTGCTTATATTTGTGTAAAAATAGGTAGATGCTTATCATCTTTTTACAGTTTTAGATGCGAGAGAGGAGAACAAATTATATGGCATAGCATTCCATTGTCGGTTGACTGAAAATCATACTATATTTGGTTTCCTCATGTCCATCCCAGGCCCCTTCCCCTAAATTTTTTCATGATGCTTGATCATGTCTATGTTTCTCGTCCTTTTGTTCTTTGAAGCAGATTGAGGGACTTTGAGGTAACAACAATGGACTTTGGAAGTAAGTTCTTAACAACAATGTTGGATCATTAGTTTTTATAATGCATTTAGAGAGCCTAGGAAATCATAGAGGATATAAGGGTGTGTGAGTATAACACACCTCTCCCTTGAGTCACGGCTTATAAAGCTTAGTCGGAAAGGACAGACAAATATTTTGCATATAACACCCATGCGACTGTGGCTCTTTTAGAAAAAGGAATAACAACCTCTACAGTATGTCAAGAATAAATGGATAATATTGGGTGATACCCAGCCAGTTTGGTTGATCTTTCAATCTGGGTAACATACGATTAACTAGATGGGGGAAATCTAGTGTAAAATAGTGTTGAAACGTAAATTGAGACTTAGTTTTATGTGGTTCTTCCTCACGCTGTGTGAGGCTTACATTCATGGGAGAACATCCTTTTCTTGTTATTGATTGGTCGGCTTGATAGAAAAGGCATTGGTTTTATACCCTATTACATCCAAATCAGCTAGGGTTACATAATGAGAACGAGAAAAGGAATGAGGAGGTTTAGCCACGGGCCCTATGGTTGCATGGGCTGCATGTGCTCGACGTGGGCTCGAGTTCAGATCATCCGTAGCAGAACCTCGGTCCAATACTCCCCCGCAAGCTGGAGCGTGAAGGTCGCGAACGTTCAGCTTGGAAAGGAGAAAACGAAAGCGATCAGCGCCGAGGTCTTTGGTGAAGAGATCCGCAAGTTAAAGTTCAGACCGCACCTTGATGGGAATAATGTGTTAAAGTTGAACACGCTCGTGAACAAAATGACAATCCATCTCCACATGTTTAGTACGGTCATGGAAGACAGGATTGTTGGCAATGTGCAGGGCAGCTTGATTGTCACAGTGGAGCGGGGTCGGATGAGTCTGAGGAACACCGAGCTCGCCAAGTAACCAACGTAGCCAAACAATCTCACTAAAAGTGCTAGCCATGGCACGATATTCAGCCTCTGCTGAGGAACGAGCAACGACCTTCTGTTGCTCCGTGCTCCAAGAAATCGGCGCACCACCAAGAGGCACAAAATAACCGGTCCTCGAACGACGTGTACTCTGACAAGCGACCCAGCCGACATCACAATAAGCAGTAAGTCGGAGAGGATTATCAGCCGGGAAGAAGATTCCTTGGCCGGGGCTGGAGTTAAGGTACCACAGAACCCGGAATGCAGCATCCAGGTGCATCTGACTGGGAGCATGAACAAAGCGGCTGAGGATGTTGACAGCATAGGTGATGTCCGGGCGAGTGGTAGTGAGATATAACAGGCGACAAACCAGCCACCGATACAGTGAAGGATCGGGTAAGATATCATCATCACTCGACCGAGTGAACTGGTGATTCTGTTGACCGGGAAAGCACTAGGACGAGAACCATGAACTCCAGCATCTTCTAATATGTCTAATGCATACTTGCGCTGAGCACGACATCAGTTGAGACGCGGGCAATCTCAATGCCTAGGAAATAGCGTATGATTCCGAGGCCCTTGATACTAAAGCGATCATCCATGAATCACTTAACATAGGAGATGAAGGGAATATCATTCCCGGCCAAGAGCACATCATCTACATAAATGAGGGCAGTCACAAACGTACTCCCCCGCTGGTAGATAAACAAAGAAGCATCTGTAGGAGAGGAGTGAAAACCAAACTCGATCAAGGCTGCAGTAAACTTGTGATACCAATTCCAGGAGGCCTATCACCAGGCTGCCAAAAACCTTGGGGAATTTCCATATATACTTCTTCGTCGAGGTCACCATGCAGGAAAGCATTGTTGACTTTGAGTTGGTGAAGATGCCAGCTGCTACTGACTGCCACGACAATGAGACAATGGACGGTAACCAACTTTGCGACGGGAGCGAAGGTGTCATGGAAGTCCAAACCCTCAATCTGTGTATATCCCTTCGTGACTAGCCATGATTTGAACCGCTCTATGCTGCCGTCAGGATAGTATTCGATTTTGTATATCCATTTGGAGGCGATAGCACGCTTGCTGGGAGGAAGCTAAACAAGGTCCCATGTACCATTTGCCTCAAGAGCAAGAATTTCTTTGGCCATGGCAGCGCGCAACCTCGGGTCCTTGATGGCCTGAAGAAAAGTCCGAGGCTCGTCATCCCGAGTGAGAGCTGCAAGGAAAGCATAAAACGCGGGGGGTAAAACCATCATACGGCACATGATTGGATAAAGGTTAATTGACAAGGTTATGGGTACTTCCCTTTTCGCTAGGGAGATCAGTTTGATATATTTCGAGATGTTTAGGTCCCGTCC